TTAGTACGATGCAACATTATGGATGGTTGTTATAGATTAAATTTAAGTATACCATAATACATATGACCAAAAGGTATTCAACTAAACTTTATAATTAATTCAAATTTTGGACATATTTTCTTATGGAACAAAATTAAATCTAATTTTAAATACACCTTTAAAATTTTATCTTTAAAATCGTTATAATCCTCAATTTTACAGTTTTATATATATATTTGCAAGCATTTTTCTTTATTTATGCTTAGAAATTAAAATCCATGTAAAGATTAAAACATTTTTACGTTAAGGCATACATTAAATTTAAATTCTTCTATTTCTTTACATTTATGTAAATTATTTTATGCTTAATTGCTTTCTATTAATGTTGAATATCAATTTTTTGTTTTCTTGTTTAAGAAAAATTTGGAGTCGTTTGTATCAGAATGTTATGATATGATAGCTCTATTTCTATGCTTTCATTTAATTCTTCGATACCAACTTATGTGTCATAAACGCTGCGTTCCTGCCCTAGACAAATATTGGGAAGATTTACAATCTATTATTCTACCTAGATTTGAGTACGTTTTTCGCTTAAATATAACTAGCATAAGGGAGTGCGACCCGACCAAATTCAATAAAGAAATGGGACCACATTATGCAAGTATTCTAAGTATTCTCTTAATTTAATATTATTTTAAAAGTATAAATGTATGAAAAATATAATAATTATGTTTAGATAACTCGTCGATACGCCGAATTTAGCGGAGCTGTTGTGGGAATAAATGAAAATTTTCCTAATGAATTAGTAACTCGCTTGTTAGCAGAATTACAAGAAGAAGTTGACTTGTTTATAGTACGAATGGCAGGTATTTTTAACGAAAGAAAAGAACAGCTCATATTTTTAATAAATAACTATGATATGATATTGACTATAATTACGGAACGAACGCGGGATAACTCTAAAGAAGCAGAAAATTTCAGAACAAAACTCAATGCTAAGAGTACAGAGTATGTAGAGGAAATTTTAAGTCCTCATTTTGGCGAACTCATGCAGTTTGTAAAAGAATGCGAACATTTGATAGAAGAGGGGCAACAAGAGCAAATAAAAAGTAACGAAAAAAAAGCAGTAGCAATAGTGCAACATTTCACAGCAAATTGGAAAAAATCCTTGGAAGAACTTAATAGGGAAGTAATGATTTCTTTCCCGAATCTCATGACAGGATCCAGGTTATTACAGTTAGCATTAACACAATTAGTTCAATATTATCATCGGTTTCATAAACTCCTAAATCCAAATACAAGGACTCAGCTTGTTAATATACACCATATTATGGTTGAAATGAAAAAGTATAAAACAATTTATTAGATTATTATTATTATTATGTTTAAGAGATAACTTTAATGTTGTGCAATTGTGATAAAATAAATACATTCCAAATATTTTCAACGTGCATTATTTATTTTAGAGATAGTAATATTAAGTTTTTGTTAAAATACTAACAAGAAATTTGACTACAATATGTTACATTCACAATATTAATTAATAAAAAAGCATTTGCACTTTCAACAATATGCTATATCGATATATGCACTAAACAATTTATAATATTCAATTTTTTTTAAATTCAATTTCTAACNTTTTTATAAATAGATAATTTCTCTAAAAATTGACGAGGATGTTAATGCAATAAACCTGTCTAGAAAGATTTTTAGCAGATAAATAGTATGAGATAAGGGAATACACTTTTTATATCAGTATATTTTGATAAAAGATTTTTTTTATTTGCTCCACAGATTATCTAAAAGGAAATTCAGATTCACTTTTGAGTAAAAATTTAAATTTATTGTGTTTCACTGTTAATTGAGTTATGTTTTATTGTTTTAACAATCTCACTTAAAAACCATAATTTTATTCAATCGTTAACTGAAAAAAGTGTATGTTTATAAACTATTAGATACATACGAAAGCAGAGACAAACGGAACGTTGTCGTTTAACTCATTCGTATTTGTAACTTTTACAACCCTACATATATTATGTTTATTATTGCTTTTCTTTATTTTCTTTGAAAAAATTAGACTGAAACAAAATACGTTATAAGGCTGTAAATACTTAATTTCACATTTAATTATGTGTTATTTAATCATCGTGGATACTTCTGATTTAAACACTAACGATAAGAAGTGTTTTTACTTAAATAACGGAATGTGTTTCGATATAAAACAGAAAAAACCTGGCAGTTTATAACATGTCTAACAGTCTTCAACAATAAATACATGCAACCATTTAAAAATTAAAAATAAAATAATGCAATTATGAAATGATTTCAAGAAATGCTTTTGGAACTTTACCGCTCTGGAGGCCCCTTTTACCCATAAAATAATCATCGTTTGGTTTATTCGGAATTTCTTGCACAAGTATTACCTTTTTGTAAAAGAAATTATGTGGCGTATATCAAACTGACTAGTGAAAATAAAAAATACTGACCTCATTGGTTAATAAGTTCAATTCAGAATCGTCTTTGGCATCATAATCGTACAACACGCGAGCCTGTTTAAAGTTGTCATCTGCTGGTGGTGTTTCTTCTTGAATTACAAATTGCGGTGGTTGATAGGATGGTACACCAGTTCTCAATGACAAACTATGCAAAAAAAATATACTAATAGTACGTGGATAGAAAATTGTCGCATTAACGTCTGCTATTAAAAAAAATAAATACATAACAATTTCTCCAATCAGGTTTTGCACAATCATTTCCAAGAAAGCTCGCAAATCGAATTATTGCCTTTAAGCCTATAGGTAAAATATCAGTTTAGAAAATAAACTCTTTCTGCTCCTTCATATATTTTGTTAGGTGAATATCGTAGAATACAGAGAGGAAATGAAAACTGAATCATAGATCATTAGATATATTCAAAATAAAGAAGATAATGATGACTTCCGGTATACTCAGCAACCCGGATTTTGAAAAATTAGTTTAGATTGTGGAAAACTTGTTTGAAGGAATACTTTATCTGATAATTATTATTGTTCCAGTCAATTACTAACACACCCATACTGTATACATCTCGTGTGATTGGGAAATGATATGTATTCTTTAAACTATGCAAATATCAGATATTATAAATATAACAAAAATACATTTTTTTTGATATTATATATGTATATATAGTGCATATTGATATATATATATATATATACACAGTGTATGTTAAATATGAAATTCTTGCAATAAAAAAAAAAACAGTTACCTGGCTAACTCTTTTTGTAAGCTAGTCATTATTGAAGTACATTGAGCATAATAATTTGCCTGTGTTTCAACAAATTCATAAAGGCAGCGTAAATGAGTATTATGAGAACTGCTGATCCCTTCTAAAAGCAATTTTGTTATTTCTGTTTGCCTGTCAAACTCAGACTGGACTATTCTTAAATCCCTTTCAGCCTGTAATCAAAGAAAATCAGTTATAACAAAACAAAGATCAAAACTTAACTAAAAAAAATTATTTTGTATTTTATTTTTATCAACAATATGGGAACAACTTCCCTTTTACAATGTTTTATTTTACATAATAAACATAAGAGATTGGTAGAGTAAGATGTTTAAGGAACTATTAAATTAGTATGATTAATACTGACTAATTATGAAATACCTGTTCTAGAAGAACTTCTGGAGGTATTCCCTCCTTCTATGTAGCAGCAAAAATATTAGTAAATGTACAATTAGTGTTACAAAAAAAAATAATTAGACAGGCTCTATGATAATTTTATTTATGATGTAATTGTCTGAACTTACATTTTGAGTGCCCAACATACTTCTTGCTTTTCGTACACGATTCTTGCAAGCATCCAGATCAAGCCTTAAAATTATGCTGTATAGAATTTACAATTTCAACAAGTAATAGCTAACCTTTTAGTCTCCAATAAATTCTTCTCCTTCAGAATTGTTTTCATTTCACCCTCCAAAAATTTCTTTAATGGTTGAGTAAAACATGTCCCAGTTGAAGCAATAAAATCTCTCTCAACTTGACCCAACTTCTGTTCGCATTGACCTACTTTTATTAAAGCACTGCCGTATGATGTTCCAGGACCAATTTCATTTCCAAACTCAATCATATCCAGTCCTAGATGTTCAATATTACTCAATCTGGTGGGTCTCTTTTTTTCAATCTTTTCAAACATGTAGTCTTCTATACGATATCCCGGATTGGGAATTAATACCGATTCTACATCTCGTAAAATTTTCTCTGTACAATTTTTTGTAGTATTTGCTCGGTTCCATAGATTTTCAAAATGACCATCCAATTCTGTTCTTTCTGATGTACCCAATTTCTCTTCTGCATACTATTATACGAACAAAAACCTTTCTTTTCATCGGTTTTATAAGTGGTTTTAACTTTAATTACCTGCACAACTCGACTAAATGCAGCTCCTGCATCTTTAACGATTTTATTTACGTTGAAATCCATAATGAAAGTAAAAACTATTATTTGATAACTTCTTCAAGTAATATTGATTTATTTACAAGAAAAAAGAATTAAAATCCTATAGGCGTTAATTTCAAAATATATTCCTCTATCTAAACGATAATTATTAATTTAAAATGTTTGATAAAACTTATTACTAACACAAAAGACATTACTTTCATTTGCTCTGATTGGCTTTGACACAGACCATACACAGACACAGACAAGACTTCACATAAACAATGACGTTCCACTATTATCTATGGTTCCATTATTCAAAAACATTATCTATGGTCAAAAACCTTAAATCATAGAAAAGAGAAAAGAATAATAAGAATCTACTGATACATCATCTGAAACATTTGCATTCTATAATCATAGTTTACACCTATGATTGATTTAATTTTTTTGTTTTTTTTTTAATTTAAATGGTTGATATAAATAATATAGATATTTAATAGCATTTTCTAACACAATTATTTAGGTAGCAATCCACAATAATAGTTAATAATTTTTCTTACTACATAATTATTTTATCTATACATATAATTACCAAAAATTAAAAACCACCAAAGGATTAAGAAACTGGCAAGCAAGAGTTTTTGTTTAATTATTTTTACGAGTTTATGCACAGTTTAAATTGTGTTAACAATTTCTCTTGGCTTCATAAACTGGGTATGTACATCTGTACATATAAAAAATAGTAATAGTTCGTTTATTGTATTTGGTTCTAGTGGAACGACTGGAAGTCATTTTTTTTTTTAATTTGAAACAAAAAAATAGAGTTGTTTGAACTCATTAAATCTATATATGTATAATATTGTTGTTGGGTAGGAGGTAGGTTTGTTTATCGGACAAGTCAAGTTTGACGAAACAATTATTACTTGTGAAACAAAAGTTTGTGAAAATCTTGTCGTATTTTATTCATTTCAACTTTTTAGTTTCTCAAAAAACATCACTATCTTGATTTTTTGTTTTAGGTTCGACGGTGCACGCATTTGTTGGACCAAATTTAACTGAAGATACCTACTTAAAACATGGAACCCCGACAAGCTACAGTAATTCACTGGTTTCGCAAAGGACTTCGTCTTCACGATAATCCCGCATTACTCGAAGCTATACAAGTCGCTGTATCACAACAAGCTTTTCTTAGGCCATTATTCATTTTAGATCCTAACATTCCCAAATGGATGAAAATAGGTCCTAACAGGTGGCGTTTTTTGATACAAAGTTTAAAGAATTTAAATAATTCTTTAAAAGCTGTTAACTCCAAACTGTATGTAGTTAGAGGAAAGCCTGAGAAGGTATTTAGAAGAATTTTATTAGAATGGAGTGTCACATTAATTACTTTCGAATCAGATATTGAGCCTTTTGCAAAGGAAAGGGACACAAAAATTGAAAAACTAGCAAAGGAATTAAATATTAAAGTTATCCAAAGGATATCCCACACAATTTACAACCCTGATCTTATACTAACAAAAAATTTTGGGAACCCCCCGTTAACTTATCAAAAGTTTATATCTTTAATAGAACAATTTAAAAAACCAATCAATTTGGCAAAACATCCACCAAATGTACCTGATTATTGTAAACCATTTGCTGATTTATTAGAAAAGAACAATTCCAACTGTTATGAAATTCCTACTTTACAAGAATTAGGAGTAAATGAAGAAGGCCTCGGAGAAAATTTATATTCAGGTAATATATTCTTTTTATTAGGTAGTTTAACAAACTTGTGGACGAGTCAGGGAAGAGAAGAATGGCTGCGATCATGCATCTCTGCTGAATTATGCTGGAACTTTAAAATAAGTGTTGTCTTTTCCCATCGTAACTGCATATCAGTCAAAAAACGAAAAAATCAAAATCTAACTAGTAGATTTATCGTGGTGCGCACACATCGATATGTAAATAAAGTACCTTTTATATTATTCGTCTGTTACAAATATTTTTTATGATAACTTTTGATCTAAGGCGGAGAGACAGAAGCATTAGCGAGGATGGAAAAGTATTTAGAAAATGCCCAGTGGATTTGCAAATTTGAGAAGCCTAATACATCACCTAACAGTTTAGAACCGAGTACCACAGTATTAAGTCCTTATTTAAAGTTTGGTTGTTTGTCTTCAAGATTGTTCTATAACCGTTTGAACGACGTGATAAGAGGGGCCTATTGTACAAAACCTCCAGTGAGTCTAATTGGTCAACTTCTTTGGAGGGAATTCTATTATACTGTAGCAGCTGCCACTCCAAATTTCGATAAAATGGTGGGGAATTCTATATGTTATCAAATTGATTGGGATACAAATGAGCGACATTTACAGGTATTAATTTTGTTAATTGTTTCGAATGTTTCATAAAATATATTGAACTTTTTCATGTTTTGCTTTATATGTACCAAAAAAAATTTAATTACCACTACTCAATGTTTAAACATAAGACAATATATTGTATACCATATCCCTTGAGCTATTAGAGGATTTATTCCAAAATCATTTATTTTGTAATTCTTTTATATTTTTTTCTGCTCTTATACTTTTTTCGTACTGTACACAGGCCAAAGAAAAGAAGTCTGGTTTGGTTACCATCGTATCAAAAATAATAATTGTATATAAAACATACCTATATCATCCTTATATTATTTTTCATTTTAAGAGTAAAATTTCTTAGGCCTGGAAAACAGGAAAAACGGGCTACCCATTCATTGATGCAATTATGCGCCAGCTTAGAACAGAAGGTTGGATCCATCATTTGGCGCGTCATGCTGTTGCGTGTTTTCTAACTCGTGGTGATTTATGGATATCATGGGAAGAAGGTTTGAAGGTTTTTGAAGAATTCCTTTTGGACGCCGACTGGGCCTTGAACGCTGGCAACTGGTTGTGGATGAGTGCATCTGCATTTTTTCATCAGTTTTACAGAGTTTATAGCCCAACAGCGTTTGGTAAAAAGACTGATAAAAAAGGAGATTACATAAGAAAGTACGTTCCTGAATTAAGGAAGTTCCCAGAGGCATATATATACGAACCATGGTTGGCATCAAAAAATGTGCAAAAGGAAGCTGGTTGTGTTGTAGGCGTGGATTATCCGGAAAGAATTGTAATCCACGAAACGGTTTATAAAATAAATATCGGTCGTATGAGTGCTGCCTATAAAAGAAATAAAAAAGTTAATGATAATGGTAAATCTGCTAAAAGCAGCAACTGCAGTTCAAATTTAAAACGAAAAAGAAAGTAGAGTACATATTCAGAAAACAAAATATTTAAAAATGCTAAAAAATTTAGTGAATACATTTTCGTTATTTAAATATTAGTATGTAAGTACGTCTTCGTAATGCCTTAAATATTATTATTATACATTCCAATTACAAAACATATTTTATTTAAATTTACATGTATGTGTGAGTGTGCTAGAAAGAACAATTAATAATTGCCTATTATTTTTGAATAAAAATCAAAAGAAAAGTGAAAATTTTTAATTTTACATTTACAAAATGTATGTACATCAAACATTTAGTACATATTGTACTTAACAGGTAACGTCAATCACACTTCTTATTTTTATAATACATACAAATAAACATTAAAAACGTAATAGAAAACATAACAAATTATTTGTTTAATGGAAATATAAAAATTCGGAATTTTTATAAATAAAAATTTTATTGGGAATAATATTTTTATTAAAAATAATATCACAAAACGATTATCTTCATTTACTGTTTCTTGTTCCAGTTCATCAATGTTTTTACACACTGCACCAAATTCACTGGTGAATTAAAATAAAGTCCGTTGTAAAACATGTGTCATTGGAACTTCATGCTTCCTGATTTACGACTTCTGAAACTGACTTCATGTCGTATGCTTCTATATTCAAACCATAACACATTAGGTATCAACGTAGTGTCTCTTATTAACAAAAATTCTGAAATTTTCCTATAAAAAACACAAAAAAATATTAATAAATGATGATATGAAGTAAAAAAAAAACTTACCAAGAAACAATATAAGGATATAATGGAGTTAAAACAAAATAGGTAAGCGCAAACCAAAAAGTTGCAAATATGATACCTATTATAGCTCCACAAATAACTTGCCAAGTAGTATGGTAATGTAGATACACTCGACTAATGCACACAAGAATTGCCATTGATAGAGAAGATGTTAATATAAGAAACTTTGAAACATTTTCTATTATAGTATTATTATTCATATGGTGTAACCTTAAACAGATATCATAAACAGAAATGTAGGTAATTGGAACTCTCAAATGATAAACCTCTTTTTGGTTTTTTACATTGATTGAGATCATGGGCATATTCAGAGGATAGTAGCTGCCCCTCCCTAATAAACTTTATTTAAAACTCATCAAAAGTTTTCATATACATATATTGAAGTAGATAAGCAATTAGATGAAAATAGTAATGGAATTATACTCATTTAAATACACAAGTAAATCCTTTTAAGTAAAAGTTCAAACATGCCCATGATTAAGATTAAATCCTAGAGTAGAACTATTTGAAAAGAAAAACCAAAGCTTCTCAGTATGGGTTAAATGAATTATAAGAAATCTTATATTACAACCAACCATATTTTTGGTGTGACATTTTTGATAAGAAAAGAACAACAGCGGGTATACAAAATTGTTACACATATCCTCAAGTACATACCAGTATCTTGTTTAATTATTGTATTACTGTTCGATCTTCATGTATAGTAATTCCAGTATACATGTATACTTCTGTGAATAGTGAAAATGGTAAACCAAAAAAACATTTTTAAGTACTTCTTGAGTGAATTAAAGTCAACTGATTTAATATGGCTCACCCTAGGATTCAGTCCTCCACAAGGGAATAATTTAAAAATGTATTCAGTGAATTTGTAAAATATATTTCTTACCTAATAAAAACAAAATAGACAACATATGTTGAAAAAAACCATACAAATTGAGAATGTGAAGATGGCATGCCATACTCAACAGCATCATCAGGTCTTACTTTTGGTCTTGGTTCACGTATGGCATGCTTTATAAGATAGTTCAAAATTTCTGAACAAACAGTACCCAGGAAAAAGGTAATCTGCAATGAAATTTATATTTTATTATTTATAACTGAAAATATCATTTAATACGCACCGTATGTAAATCTCGTCTAAACAAAATAAGAGTTACAAACCCAGCACCAATTCCAAAAGGTGCCAGGCTAATAAAAGCTAGAATTTTACCAAAAGCATCTCCTAAAAGGAAAAATAAATAGCACACAAATTTAAAATGGAAACGAGAAGATATTAAAATAATTCTCATAAAACTGTACCTTTTGGGTATTCTACTAACGTTAAGGAAAGAGGAACCCATATTGTATTGTTCCTGTCGTCTAAATTTTTCGAAAAATAATTTTGGTCCGAGTCGTACGTGGCCATTTTGATCGCGTTGTTTTGATATTATCTACTATTGTTATCTACTTATCTATTGTTATTTATACACTCTATGTCTGGTTCAGGTTAATAATGATAATGCTCATAATTGCTCCATGTACATGACAGGTATGTGCCTACCGGTGCATACAATCTGTGGATGTTCTGATAGTAATTTCGACATCTTCATTCTGTCCTCTTATAACATGACAAAAATGATAAGTCGAAATTGTAGAGTTTTGTATTAAAGATTCTGAAACAGTATTATTATTTACCCTTAATTACTGTTAATCTGCATTTGTGGTATTAGGTTTTACGGTTACGTGACGACACGAACCTCCTATTACCCTTTGTAGATCTATTATCTATGCTATTAGCTAAACCAATCGGAACGAAAAGACCTTTAACAGCTTTTGCTTTTTGAGCATTTCAAAATAAGAAGAGGTGGTCTCTTAAATGTGACCGTTTCACTAAGAAATAGTATTACTTATACATTTTTTCTAATCTATTTTATACCAGTTTTGAGAATTGTGTTAAAAGGTAAGTGCTTTTATAAATATCTGTTTTGATTTACGCTTTAAAAGCAACATTTAATATGGTTTGAAATTTTTTGATACCTGATGCTTTAACGGTCTCCATTTTATAATTTTTTGTCTTCAAATTTAATGAATAAACTTCCGAAAGTTATTAGTGATGTACGGTGAAGTGAATTAGATGCTTCATGTTTTTTGTTTTATTTATCAAATTTACAATTATAAATTTAATAAATGAGCTTCTTAAAAGTGGCGGTAAACCATAATATGCGCATTTGAATTTTGTTAAATGGAGTGCAAAGAACTGTTTAAATATTTTTGCGAATACACCAGTATTAAAAGAAGTGTTCATAATCAGTTAATAGTACTATTCGAAATATTTTTATGATATAAGACTATATATTTTATTTCAGTGAGGTTAACAAATGCACACTGTAAACGGCATTTCCTTTTTTTTTATTTTGGGCTTTCTGCTATTACATGGTGTTATAAAATTAAAATCAATTTATTTTTATGATACCTATAGATAACCTAATTTCATAATTTAGATGGCTCCAACAAGAGCAACAAAACCTGAACTAATATTGGCTGTGGGTGCAAAACGTGTTAACACTAATGCAATATCTACAAGGAGCAAGTCAACAATAATAAATGTAGTTAAAGAAAGGGCAAAAAGAAAGGCTGATGGCTCTCCTCCTAAAGAAAATGGAGTCAAACGCTCTGCTTTTGGTGATATTACCAATGCTTTAAAGAAAACAAAAGAAACTGAGATTAAAGGCAAAACAATAATTAAAGTTCCAAATGCTGCAAAAAAGGTAAAAGTGCAAGCAAAGGTTTTGCCAACGGTAAGGACAGTTAATCATAAAAAAAATGAAAATACTTGTCCACCTCCTGCACCAGTCAACAACAAACCTAGAACAAGAGCAACCCAAAGATTACATCAACCTAATCAGACTGTTCAAAAACCAAAAGAAGTGTTGAAAGATAACACCAATGTAAACCAGAAAATTAAGACTAGATTAAGTAATGAATTTGAGAAAACAGAAGAATCATTATATAGCACTGCCATAGATATGTACGTATTTTGTCATGTATATTGGTCATGGTTCCTTTAATATTAGTAGTAATTTCTTTAAATTATATAATAAAATTTATAAAATTTTTAGCAATATTTCCAATTGCAACAGCAGTACTGTCAAAAGTAATGGCTCCAAAATTGATCAAACAGAAGAGAATGACAAAGGTATTGATCGTTTATCAAAGGTTTCCTTTGTTGCCCAACAGCTAGAGAAAAAATTAACGTTGAATAGTTATTGTGGAAGTCCTGAAGGAATTGATGACTTTGATAAGGAAAACTGGAATGATCCTTTCCAAGTTTCACATTATGCAATGGATATTTTTAATTACCTCAAAGAAAGAGAAGTACGTATTATTTTTGTCTGTTTGTTTATTTATTTATGAATTGACTCGTCAATACATATTGGTCTATCTACAATATACTTAACTAATTGTAAGACGAATTCTTTTTCACGCTTATATACATATATATATTTTTTAATCATTTTATGAACAAAAATAATTGACATCTGTTCTGAATATTTTTAGTCTTACTTCACCATAAAAGATTACATGGATCATCAAATTCATCTTTCATGTTGGATGAGAACGTTACTAATTGACTGGATGGTAGAAATTCAAGAAAGTTTTGAATTGAACCATGAAACTCTATATCTAGGCGTCAAATTGGTAGATTTATACTTAAGTAAAGTAATTGTTTCTCGGGACGATTTACAACTTGTTGGTGTAGCTTCCATATTTATTGCAAGCAAATTTGATGAAAGGATTCCACCTTCTGTAGATGATTTCGTTTATATTTGCGATAGTGCATATGATCGCAGAAAACTACTTCGAATGGAAATGAATATACTGAAAGTGATCGACTTCGATCTGGGAATACCGTTAAGCTATAGATTTCTGAGACGATATGCGAGAGTAAGAATTTTTTATTCATATTATTAATATTAATTTTAATATTACAGTACTGACTGTATATTAAATGAGCCAGACTCTTCGCAAAAATATAGAAGAGATATATAACCTTGTTATGCCTTCTAGCCGGTTATTTCACTAGCATAGCTTAAATTTTTCTCAATGTAAACAAGTGAGTGAAAAATTGTAAACTAAAATAGGCATTGAAAAATCATTATTTTCTTAAAAATACTATGCTATTTTTTTATACTTGTTATGTTCATGTCTCCTGCAATTTCAACTATAATTTTAGTAGTGTAAAAGAATTCTAATAAAAATCAAATTATTGAGAGTATACTAGTTCATGAACTATCAAGAGCGTACATTCAATCAAAATTATTTCAAGTTTGATAGTTTCTACACATTTATATTGTAAATACTTATATATATTTATTTCACTTTACTTTTTTTTATTTAGTGTGCTAAAGTCAATATGCCTACGTTAACTTTAGCCAGATTCATATTAGAATACTCCTTAATGGACTATGCAATTGTGACACTTCGGGACTCTAAACTAGCTGCAGCTGCCCTATATATTGCTTTAAAAATGAAAAATATAAGTGGATGGACCCCTACCCTTGAATATTATACAGGTACTTTTGTTTTACTTTATTATTCAATATAAAACCTTTTAATTTTAATAGTTTTTGGATAATTTTTTATATCCTAACAGATTTTGTTATAATATAATTAATTTTTTTGTTAAATTTTGATGTTCATATATATGTTTAAGGTTACACGTTAATGGAATTCATTGATATTGCACGTCTCTTGAATAATGGCCTGCATCAGAAGCCAAAAGAGCAAATAATGACAGTTCGGAACAAATATTCACATAAAATATTTTTTCACGTAGCGAAAACGCCCCTCGTACCTACGGAAGATTTGTAGGGTATCGCTCAGGTACATTTTTTAGTTTATTGACTGTACGTGCATATTGTATGTCCTTGTGTATATTGAACAGAAGATATATTTTATTTTTAGACGTATATTTACTTTTAATATGATTGTTGACTGCGTTTATTAAGCAATAAAAAGGATTTGCCTTTTTATTATTGATAAGTATTGAACTGCCATTTTTAGATGTATGTATTGTATGATAAACACACTAATATATATTACCGATATTTTAAAAATTACGACTATTGCGGTGTAGGTTTTAATATTATACATCCGATGTAAACTACTGATTAATCAAATACCAGTGTTTTGTTTGGTATTTATTTTAGTTTTGACTTGCCCTGAATCAGTTGTTTGTATCTTTTTATAATAAACTATATACTACTACTGTAAAAAAATTAAAGGTCTTTTTATGTAGAAAGTCGTATTCTGCAAGTAATGACGTATTTTTTTTAAACATCAATGAACCTGCAAATAGCGAATTGGGCTATTTACTTATGATTTTGTGAAAAAAAGATTAAAAAACTTATAAATAAAATAAGGATAAGATACAATTGTAACCATTAAAGGGACTTAATTAAATTGAAGTATAGTTAAATTTAATGTAAAAATTTCTCTAGAGAATATATAAATATTTACGTTGGTATCCAATTTTACTTATTCACGTTAGCATTGATATGAAACACTATATAGAAGGATAATCAGAATTAAGGAATGGTGAATATAAATTTCCTGTTGTAACCATTAGTTTTAGTTAAATAATTTACAGCAAAATGTCTAGATATACACAAAGATACAAAAATGTGTAGTTTATTTCTTGCGCATTTATTTTATTTTTTTATAAGAAAAACTCACTTGTTATTGAACATCCGATGTTGTAACGTCGTTTTCCACTTTGAGATTTTTCCTCTTCTCCAACCTGGCACACTTTAAACACGTTTCCTTTTCCGGTTTCCAACAGGAAATATGATAACATGATCCACATTTCTTACATCTCGTTACTTTTTTAATTTGCCAGGGAAATATAACTTGATCATGTAGACAAACTTCGCAAATGAACCCTCTTGCTTTACATAACTATAATATAAAAAGTTTTGGAAATTGAATGCAATAATGTAGCTCTATATTGAAAAGTGTAGGCAGTAATAGGCGAACAAATACGGCATTAATAAATAAATAAATCCAATATAATGGGATTTCAAAAAGGGGTTGTACAATTGAGTAAGGTAAGGTAAAATTGATCGCATCTTAAAACGAAAATAAAAAACAGCTAAACCAAATAAACTAGCTAGAGCTAAATTATAAAACACTACAGACTCGAAATTTCACATAAAATTTTAAGAAATGTAAAATGTATGCGTGTTAACACACCCAAGGTGCTATCCTTAGTCTATTGAGGATGACACCTTGAGGATCCTTCATAAAATACATTTGCAAAGAAGTGGGAGGAGTATTGCTTAGTGACGAGATATGATAAGGGGGAAGGTTGTAACGTTCACCGTTCATCAATTTTATTTAATATACTAGATATACAAAAATTACCTGGCATTCATATATGTGTTTGCAACAAATGTCTACAAGGCTTTCTAACTTTTTATTAAGATCACCACTGCGAATATTTACTAAATCTTGCAAAGAATAAACATCCGGATCCATATAAATGTATGGATTTTCCCTTTCAATGTACTCCTGTATTCTAAAAAATATCTGTTCGATTAATACTTAATTTATACATTCAGATACTTTTACTTACTTTTCTGCAAAACGACATGTTTTAATGAAATCTTTAACATAATACAAGGCCAATCTATAAGTCCTACATTTCTTTAAGTTCTTTGAAATATTTTCTATATTTTTATTTAAATCGAAAACGGGTAGTAACGGATCTGCATACATTTGCTCGAGCAGTCTATAGGAAAAATTTGAAACAGGGTATCTAAAACGTTAAAAAAATTAATAAAATATTAATTTTAAAATGATGATGTACCGTAAATAAACTTAGAAACGATTCTACATATTCTTCTACTTATTCCATACCATTTACTTTTAGGTTTCATTTTATATTTAATATCTATAGTAGAATTCAAATTATCGCTTACTATGCGACCGACTATTTGATTTCCTTACCGTGAAAAATCCCATTTCTGTATAATCCTTCCGGGTATGAGAGCAACTTGGTTGGTGTGACATAAAGTACAAAAGTATCGTCCCAAATAATGACAAAAACGAAATTTTGATGCGTATTGCGGTAGGACACGCGTTCCACATCCTGCACACCTATAATTCTGCTTCACCATCAGTTTCTTCCTCCTATCACAACAAATACAACATAAAAAGTGCCTTTAAGGCACTTCGTAAAACGTTCTATTACATGAATACTTACATAGGAGGAGGTTGAGGTGTAAATATTATCTGAGGACGAGGAGGAGCCCAGTCTTTGTTTCCGCGTAGGGGTGTAGGTGGCACCTCCTCTGTATCGACTGGCCAACTCTTTGGAAGTGGAAGTAAGGCTTGTGGAGCATCTTCTTCTGATACTAACCATTCTAAATCAGAAGCCCTAATGATAACATTCATTAAAAAAATAATGATATACAATTTTGTAAAGTGGATTAAACATATATACCTAGGCAATTGCTTTTCACTAAAACGACTTATCAAGGACAACGCAACACCTTCTGCAGATAAAACATCTGATGCACCGTCTGGAGCCCCTCTAGGTTTTTTTAAAAGATCTGATTCGGAAAAAAGAGACGCCATAGATACAGACAAACCTTTTGAGTCAATCAGATTCGACGATTCGTCAATTTCTAAGTCTTCAACTTCGTCGGAACTTATACAGTCCGAATGACAATAATCGGGAGAAGTTGAATATGCACTAGTACTTGCTTCTGTAGTTGTAGTAGCTTTACATAAACGTATCGATTAAAATAACTTAACAGTATAATATTTTATCATATAAATAAATCTAGAATTTCGAAGTTTAACAATAAGCGTGTATATACAAAATTTACTCATATATACATATAAATGCAAACTGTTTGTGGGTAAAAAATTAATTTAAATACATATTTTTTCCTTAAAATAAAGTAATCATTTTTTGTTGTTATGATTGTATTTAAAATGTATTCAATTTGCTCTCTTATTTTACCATTACTAAGTGGCGTTCCAATCACCATTTTCTTTTGCGTTTCTTGAAGTTTCTGACGTCTTCTAAGTCGGATACGTTGCTTCAAACTCATAATTTCTTCATCACTTTCGTCGCCTTGTTCGTCAACCAACTTCAGGTCTTGTTTACATTTAATCTGTTCCATTACAGCAATCATTGCTTCTGATATGCTAAAATGAGCATTTTCTCTATCCAATTCTGCATTTGCGCGTACAAATTGACTAGAAGTGAGAAAGGATGCAAGAGTCTGCCCTTTTACAGGTCTTGGAAAATACCTGTAAAAAACTTAGTTAAAGTGATTGAAATAAATGCATACTAAAGCTCTTTACCCTGTAGCAGGAGGCAAAACCTTACCATCTTCCTCAATAAAACTTTTCTTAGGGGCTCTTTTATAATCTTTTTCTCCTGCCAAAGCTGTAAGGAAACTATAATCTGATGATGATCTTGTTGGAGAAACTGAGCAATAAAGTTTACTATTATCAATCTTTTTACTTTTCTTTATAGTTGTATTTTTAGACTGTGTATATTCAATTATGTTTATGTTATCAAAAATAACATGTTTCATTTGTGGCATGACATTATCATTTTTTTCCTTATTTTTCTCTTCTACAGTGTCTTTAGTGAAAATAATTTTATCTGTATTTATTTGAAATGATCGTGATCTAGTTATGATTGGAGTAGATGGTGTAGTTTTACTTTGTGAAGCTTTGCAGAATTGTTTTGGTCTTGTGCTACTTATTAAATCTGGCATACTACTCCAAGGTTTTAACTTCCCATTAATAAAATTGTTTTTTTTTGTAACTTTAGAAACATCACTATGAAAAGTTTTTCTTTCAGGTGCATTTAAACTATCATATGTTTTACTACGTGTAGCTGTCTTATAAATATTGTGCAAATGATTGTCAGGAAAAGAAGAACATCTGCGGTGAGCTTTGTGAAAATTTTGAACATTTTCAGAGCTAAAGAAAAGGCAGGGTTTTATTTCCGAAATTAAACTAGGTTGATTATGTTCCACTGCTCGTAAACAGAGTAGTATAGCCTCTGCATATTTTTCTTGACATAAAAAGGCATCTTCATAATAACATGAATGCAAATGTGTCTTGTCAGATAAAAGCCATGCCAGTTTTTGTGATAGTGAATGGTTTTCTAGATTGTTGTATAACCATATTGATGCTTTGTTATTCTTTAAGTATTGAGGAGAATTTTGTTTTAGTTCACAATCTAATAAAGAAGAAGACTTAGCGTTATGTGGTTGTAACCAATCAAGACCTTGTACAAAAGTCCAGAAGTCTGGGCAACCCTACAATATCATATTATATAAAACATTTTATAAATTGATTTTGCAAAAGCTTACATCACTGTTGTTGACTTTACATCCATGCTTAAATACCTTTTCAACAGCATTATGAAGTCTACTGAGACCACCATAAACAAACCAAACATTAGCAAGTTGGCTTATTAATAAGTTTTCTACTGTATTCTTTACATTACGAAGCAAAAGTTGGTATTTTAAAGGGTAATTTGAATTTCCAGACATTATTACTTATTATATATGATGAATTTTGCCAATAAGGTGATGCTTGATGAGGATTTCTAATAATTTATAGTTAACTATTCTTATTGCATCCATTATAGTATTCAAACTTTTTTGTAATCGATAAAGTTCAAATTAAAGAAGAGGTTCAAACATTTCAAATACTTCTTAATATCAGAATTATCACTGCAAATATTTTTAAGATACCAACAACTTTTGATTGTTTTATTACACCATTTGACAGTAGTCATAGATAATAGACAGTAGTAGATACAATACAACTATGATAGATACAACAAACAAACCATAAACAAACGGTACATGTCATGTTAAATGGTCAATAATAAATATTAAGTTAAGTGATATAACCTCCAAACTTTTAAATTTGTATTTTTGAACATGGTTTTTACTTCAACTTGCTTATTTTTAACCAAAATTCGTAAAGCACCCAGAAAATATCTTAGACAAGGTTTTATTGACACTCTACGTTTATACGTTCGAGGTGGTAGTGGAGGAAATGGCTATCCAAAGTATGTACATTTTATGAGTATATAAATAAAAAAATAATAGCATATTATTAGGTATGGAGGTGTAGGAGGGCAGGGAGGAAGTGTAATTCTTGTTGCAAAAGAGAAAATGTTCTTAGAACATGTTTTAAACGAACACCAGAGTAAACGGATTTTCGCTTCTCATGGAACAGATAGTTCACTAGCTTTACATAAACGTATCGATTAAAATAACTTAACAGTATAATATTTTATCATATAAATAAATCTAGAATTTCGAAGTTTAACAATAAGCGTGTATATACAAAATTTACTCATATATACATATAAATGCAAACTGTTTGTGGGTAAAAAATTAATTTAAATACATATTTTTTCCTTAAAATAAAGTAATCATTTTTTGTTGTTATGATTGTATTTAAAATGTATTCAATTTGCTCTCTTATTTTACCATTACTAAGTGGCGTTCCAATCACCATTTTCTTTTGCGTTTCTTGAAGTTTCTGACGTCTTCTAAGTCGGATACGTTGCTTCAAACTCATAATTTCTTCATCACTTTCGTCGCCTTGTTCGTCAACCAACTTCAGGTCTTGTTTACATTTAATCTGTTCCATTACAGCAATCATTGCTTCTGATATGCTAAAATGAGCATTTTCTCTATCCAATTCTGCATTTGCGCGTACAAATTGACTAGAAGTGAGAAAGGATGCAAGAGTCTGCCCTTTTACAGGTCTTGGAAAATACCTGTAAAAAACTTAGTTAAAGTGATTGAAATAAATGCATACTAAAGCTCTTTACCCTGTAGCAGGAGGCAAAACCTTACCATCTTCCTCAATAAAACTTTTCTTAGGGGCTCTTTTATAATCTTTTTCTCCTGCCAAAGCTGTAAGGAAACTATAATCTGATGATGATCTTGTTGGAGAAACTGAGCAATAAAGTTTACTATTATCAATCTTTTTACTTTTCTTTATAGTTGTATTTTTAGACTGTGTATATTCAATTATGTTTATGTTATCAAAAATAACATGTTTCATTTGTGGCATGACATTATCATTTTTTTCCTTATTTTTCTCTTCTACAGTGTCTTTAGTGAAAATAATTTTATCTGTATTTATTTGAAATGATCGTGATCTAGTTATGATTGGAGTAGATGGTGTAGTTTTACTTTGTGAAGCTTTGCAGAATTGTTTTGGTCTTGTGCTACTTATTAAATCTGGCATACTACTCCAAGGTTTTAACTTCCCATTAATAAAATTGTTTTTTTTTGTAACTTTAGAAACATCACTATGAAAAGTTTTTCTTTCAGGTGCATTTAAACTATCATATGTTTTACTACGTGTAGCTGTCTTATAAATATTGTGCAAATGATTGTCAGGAAAAGAAGAACATCTGCGGTGAGCTTTGTGAAAATTTTGAACATTTTCAGAGCTAAAGAAAAGGCAGGGTTTTATTTCCGAAATTAAACTAGGTTGATTATGTTCCACTGCTCGTAAACAGAGTAGTATAGCCTCTGCATATTTTTCTTGACATAAAAAGGCATCTTCATAATAACATGAATGCAAATGTGTCTTGTCAGATAAAAGCCATGCCAGTTTTTGTGATAGTGAATGGTTTTCTAGATTGTTGTATAACCATATTGATGCTTTGTTATTCTTTAAGTATTGAGGAGAATTTTGTTTTAGTTCACAATCTAATAAAGAAGAAGACTTAGCGTTATGTGGTTGTAACCAATCAAGACCTTGTACAAAAGTCCAGAAGTCTGGGCAACCCTACAATATCATATTATATAAAACATTTTATAAATTGATTTTGCAAAAGCTTACATCACTGTTGTTGACTTTACATCCATGCTTAAATACCTTTTCAACAGCATTATGAAGTCTACTGAGACCACCATAAACAAACCAAACATTAGCAAGTTGGCTTATTAATAAGTTTTCTACTGTATTCTTTACATTACGAAGCAAAAGTTGGTATTTTAAAGGGTAATTTGAATTTCCAGACATTATTACTTATTATATATGATGAATTTTGCCAATAAGGTGATGCTTGATGAGGATTTCTAATAATTTATAGTTAACTATTCTTATTGCATCCATTATAGTATTCAAACTTTTTTGTAATCGATAAAGTTCAAATTAAAGAAGAGGTTCAAACATTTCAAATACTTCTTAATATCAGAATTATCACTGCAAATATTTTTAAGATACCAACAACTTTTGATTGTTTTATTACACCATTTGACAGTAGTCATAGATAATAGACAGTAGTAGATACAATACAACTATGATAGATACAACAAACAAATCATAAACAAACGGTACATGTCATGTTAAATGGTCAATAATAAATATTAAGTTAAGTGATATAACCTCCAAACTTTTAAATTTGTATTTTTGAACATGGTTTTTACTTCAACTTGCTTATTTTTAACCAAAATTCGTAAAGCACCCAGAAAATATCTTAGACAAGGTTTTATTGACACTCTACGTTTATACGTTCGAGGTGGTAGTGGAGGAAATGGCTATCCAAAGTATGTACATTTTATGAGTATATAAATAAAAAAATAATAGCATATTATTAGGTATGGAGGTGTAGGAGGGCAGGGAGGAAGTGTAATTCTTGTTGCAAAAGAGAAAATGTTCTTAGAACATGTTTCTATGCTATTAGCTAAACCAATCGGAACGAAAAGACCTTTAACAGCTTTTGCTTTTTGAGCATTTCAAAATAAGAAGAGGTGGTCTCTTAAATGTGACNAAAATAATAGCATATTATTAGGTATGGAGGTGTAGGAGGGCAGGGAGGAAGTGTAATTCTTGTTGCAAAAGAGAAAATGTTCTTAGAACATGTTTTAAACGAACACCAGAGTAAACGGATTTTCGCTTCTCATGGAACAGATAGTTCACAAAAGTATATTTTGGGTCCTCCTGGTGAAGACGTTAAGGTTGAGGTACCTGTTGGGGTAACAGTTTACACAGATGAAGGAAAAAGATTAGGTGAGATAGGTAATATTTGTTTCTTCGAAAATAAACAAGTTTTACAAAAAATTGTAGGAGAATTAAACAAGGAAGGTGACGAAGTGATAGTTGCAAAAGGAGGAATAGGAGGGCATCCAAAAAATGGATTTTTAGGAAGTGAGGGCCAAGCATGGCCAATAAAATTAGACCTGAAATTAATAGCAGATGTGGGACTTGTAGGATTTCCTAATGCTGGAAAGAGTACTCTTCTAAGATCTATTTCACATGCAAAACCCAAAATTGCTAGTTATCCTTGTAAGTAGAGAACAACTTGCTGCATGACAAAATTTTTTATTTTATTTTCTAGTTACCACAATTAGACCAAATATTGGAATGCTGAAATACAAAGATTTAAGGCAAATTTCAATGGCCGATTTACCAGGATTAATTGAAGGGGCTCATGCAAATAGAGGAATGGGACACAAATTTTTGAAACATGTAGAAAGAACCACGTTATTGTTATTAGTAGTAGATATCAATGGTTTTCAACTTAGCCCTCAACATACTTTTAGGAGTTGTCTTGATACTGTAATTTTATTAAACAAAGTAATCATTGCTCTTATTGTTTAAATTTTAAATTACTTTTTGACTTATGCATAATTTTTACAGGAATTAGAATTGTACAACGAAAGCCTTTTGGAAAAACCAGCTGTGCTAGTAATTAATAAAATGGATACTGATGGAGCTTTAAAGAAGTTTGAAAAAGTAAGAGAACAAATCACAGCATTACCAGGTATGTTTCAGTAAAAATGTTTGTAAAGTTATTGAATATTTTAACTTTCAGAAATTATTCAAGAGTATTCAGAAGAAATTAGACCCACAAGGATTCTTGAAATTGGTGAAATTATTCCTATTTCAGCTAAAGAAAGTGTGGAAGACATAGAAAAAGTGAAAAACACTTTAAGGAACTTATTAGATATAAATGCTGAAAAACAAAAACTAAAAGAGGTTGTCATGAATGATTTAAATGTAATTCGTAATTTGAAAGAAAATTTAAGAGAAAGAGCAACTCCAGTAGTTTAAAACTAGTCATTAATGCTAATTCTTAGCTTTGGAAGTAATATAATTTAAAATAAATATTTTTATTTACAGTAAATGCTTAAATATTCATTAAAGGTATTTTTACATTATTCATTAGCACTTATTGCTTTTAATTTTAAACTTATATTATTTTCATTATCAACTACTTGTGGTTTTGTTAATTTTGATATTCTAACCCAATGTGGAGAAATTTCGGCTTTCTTTACTTCATTTATTAAGTTTTCCCCTAATGGACAGGATTTTTGCCAATCTACTGAATCTAAATCTTTTGTTACTCCTGCTTTAGTTCTCCATCTTAAATTTAGTTAATTATGATGTTGAAATATGCTATTAATCGAATCTATTATGTTATTTACGTTCCAATTTTAATAATAACTTTGTTATTTAATTAAATTGATAAAACGTTTATTTAAAATTACCTTTCCACACCATTCCACGCAATCATTACCCCATTATCAGTGCATAATTTTGGCGGAGGTCTAACCATTTTATATTCTAACTCCTTGCAGATAATTTGAAGGCCTTTTGCAATAAAGTTGTTGCAAGCAACTCCACCGGAAATAACCTAAAGTTGCCAAAAAATTAAAAGAAACATTTACACTGATTTTATCTATTCAATGTTTTATGAAAAAATTCAAATTGTATAAAAAAAAAGTTGTTTTAAATTAATGTTATAAACATACAAGTGTTTTGTTGTCTCTTGGAAGTAATCCTTTCATTTCTGCAAATTCCATTGCTCTTTGCACTCTGTGACATAAATGTCTTGTGATTACAAGCTGAAAACCAGCACATAAATTGTACAGATCAGGTATAATACCATCAGGAGGCAAATCTGCAAATAAAAACAAGTAGAAAATAAAGACTGATAAATGAAATTAATGAAAAAAACTGGTCTCACAAGTCAGCAAATAGAGTCAATCCCTCATTTTAGTTTATTATTGTTACTATTATTGTAAATATTTGGAGTAGTCTTACTATGCTGTTTCTCCTGGCGCTGTATGTGAATTTTTGCTTGAGTTTTGAGCCCTGAGAAACTGAAGTTACAATCCTTGTATTGAAGCAATGGAATTGAAAATTTAAATTGTATTGGATTATCTGCTCTGGAAGCTGCAAGTTCAATAGCTTGTCCTCCAGAAATTGTTGAAAATTCTGGGATATTTTTCATTTTTAGTCTTCTAGCAACCTAAAAAATTAATTAATTCCTAACATTACTTTATACTTAAGTTCAAAATAATGGTAAATAGTATTTATTTAGAACAAATCAACTTTGCTAAAAATAAGTGTTGTACTCCTTTGTTGGAGTATTTTTAGAATAAATTTCAATTGTTTATTTATCAGGTATTTGTTTTTATTAATCACTTCTCTGATTTTTGTATTAAACCTTAATATTATCCTCATTAGCAACCAACATCAGTTAATATGTTATTTGTTGAAAACAATTTTTTCAGATCACATATACAAATTACACGAAACTTATTCAAGTAACTTTCTTAATTCCAAGTTATTAAAAGAGCAAAGCTAGATGTTTCCTAACTACTTATACTTACTCACTTTATCAAAAGCTTCTCCTGGTGAATCATCAATGCTTTCTCCAAGAAGAAGAAATTTGTTTACATCCTTACAAACAGCAATTAAACAATGACCACCACTTATCAAAAGTACTAGAAATGGAAAATTTACATCTTTTTTACACATTCTTGCTGTTAAAGCATGTGCTTCCATATGATGAATGGGAATGAATGGTTTATTGTATTTTTTACAGAGATATTTTCCATATTTGACACCAATTTTTAATGACAATGGTAAACCTATAAAAAATACTAAATTTGCTTCTCTTCCAACAATAATGATCTGAGGTACCTGGTGTTACTGTTGTGGCAACTGCGTCAATATCAGCAAAATGTACTTTACTGCTTGCTAAGGCATTATTCACTACATTTTCAATGTTTTTCCTATGGAGGTTTTCAGCTATTGGTGGTATTATGCCTCCATTTCTAGTAAACAAACAACAAATTACCATAAAAAATAAAAAAGGATTTGAGTATTCATTACTGTAGGTGTATTAACTGTTGAGAATTTAATGATTCGCCTAAAATATTGCATTGGGAGTCTACAATAGCACAACCTGTATCATCACAAGAAGTTTCTATACCTAAAATTACACAGTTTGATGAATACCATGATTTACTGTAGAACATTGATATATTTCTTTTTATTAAACTAAAATTCTTATTAAAGTGAGCCATACTTTCCTAAGTATAAAAATAACGTTCGTTATACTTTTAAGTTTTGGAGGTTATATCCATGTCATGTCATATTGTCATATTCATTCATAGATTCATGTTATATACATAAATAAGAAGGTTGTATTCGTTTTCATTTCATAAATATTGATAACTTTTATACCATAATACCCTTATTTATGACCATGTCCAAATAAATTTCAAGGTCAAAGCTATTTAAGGTCGTAAGCTTGTTATTATTTCATATTCATATAAAACTGGTATGCTTTAACTAACAGTCGTGTAAATTATTTTAAAGAAATACATATAAGAAAACATTTCCGTTTTGATACCTCTATCAACACTAACAAAATTTAATTGATTAAACAAGATCACAGATCGTTTTTGGAATTTTTATGCCATGGACAATGAGAATGGGACCTTAGACATATACTCTTCATATACTTGAATTTTATCTGTCTGCGCTTTATGATCTTCTGCGATTTATCTGTTTGTCAATTTCAGTGGATGCAGTCAGATGAGATGCAATGAAATCGTAATATAATTATAAATATATATTAGAATGTAAAATGTCGGATGCAGAAAAGTAAGTAACATTTTAATTCAGGATTTAGAAAATAACTTTTTTAATAAATTTAGTTGTGGCTAATAAATAAATAATGAGGAAAAATAAACAAACTCAAATAAGTTGTTACAGTTTTATACATTATTATAATTGCAAAATATGTATAATGCATATCTTATAATTATATTAATAAATAAATTTCCCAAATTATTAACAGTGATGAAGCACTACTTGGAGGAAGTGTTGATGGGGATGATGATGATAGGGATTACGACGAAGATGCATTACTGGCTGATAATGTTGAGGAAGAAACAGGAACTGAAGATATTTTGGAGTTAGAAGTTGATGAAGTGGATTTAGATGAAACATTTGAAAGTAAGCATTGCTCATCATATTTTTTTCCTTTTGTAACAATTTTTGTTACAGAAGAAAAAAATGTATCGAAAGCAAGTACATCTGCAGTTAGTACCACTACAAACATAGATGACAGTATTGCAAGTAGCGATGCTGAGCAAACGGAGCGAAGTCATCGTTTTAAAAATGAACGATTTACACCTGTAAATAAGGTCAAGTCTATACCAGATACTCTAGGTGAATAAATCTAAGTTTTTACAGAAAATTTTGTTATTAGTTCCTTTTGTTTATTGTAGATAACGTAGCAATTAAGGAAGATTTAAAATTGACAAACCAGAGACAAAGAAATGTAAGAAGTAAATTTCAGAATGCCAAAGGAAACTTTCAAAACAATCAACGGTTTAATCAAAAATACCAAAGAAACAAGGAAAGCTCGACCGTGCATATAAATCCTAATTTTAAGGGACAGGTGCAAGTTGGTAATGATGGTAAGTGAAAATATTCATTTACTGTTATATAAATTACATAATGCTCACTTTTGATGAAAACCTGGAATTGTCAGGAAACAAAAATTTAATTTAATATTCAAGGGATTGCTTTGTTGACAAACTCGTATAAGTATGTGGGTTTTATATTTCGAAATAAAAAACAGAACCGTTACAGGATCCTTTTGTTGTCCTTCTTTTGATTTACTGATTGATTTTCAAAACCTATCAGCAATAAAGCATTCTTTCAAAAATTAGTTGCTAATTCTAAGTGGAAATTTTAAATAATAAATTTAATTCTTTTGACATTGGTATACAATGTTGTTAATTATACTTAAATTTTCATGGTTGTACTCTAGATAAAACATTTGTAATAAGGAAAACAGAAAGAATTTCAATAAATATTTATTAAACCCAATAATTGTTTTGACCTAACCAGTTATTAAAGTAATATGATAATATAAGAACTTACAGAGTCCAAGTCCTTCTCGTACTTGTTTGCATATGTATGAATAAAGTTTTCTATTCGTATCTATATTTGTCAGAGTATTTTTCAATGCAAAAAATCTGGGATTGTCAGGGAATTAAATGTTGTCATGTTAAAATTATATATTTAATGAAAATAATACTTTTTCGTTATTAGCTCGTTTTGTATTGAATGCAAGAAAGATGGATAGTAGAACTTCATATACTCATCAGGAACGAAATAAGAACATAGCATTTATCCAACCATGGGCTAATAGTGCTCATCTGCCAATGCAGCCTCCAGGGTCAATGGTTTCCAGTTCTTATCAACCAAACTTTCAACAACCTCCAGTTTACAATAATCCCAATATTAATTCAGCTTATCATCTACCCCCTCCTCCAGTGCAACCATCTCAACACCATTTACCACATCAACAGTTTCAGCCAGTGGTGAGTTTTGTTTTTTTTTACTATTAGTCAAATTGCACTATTACGTACCTATATGACTTTTGTAGTCTTTGGTGGTGGTTTATTTAATCATTCTAATTTTGCTTAGGTTAATAACTGGAACGAACTTCAGTATGATAATATTCAGGTAAAAATGATTTTTAAAGTGTTTTTCTATCTGCTTATAAGTGTTGACATTTTACTAGTAAGCAGCCTCTCAAAAACATACGCTTTTCTTTTAAATGTTGTTTTATTGTTTACCTTTTAATCAAAAACTTTAGTAAAATTGATTTCTTACTTAATGTTTTCAAAGCTAATCTGTAAAACTCAACAATTCGATATTTTCAACTACGACTAAGCAATCAAGAAAGCAGCGCTATTTTCATTAGCAACTACCTATCTGAAGGTCAATTTGTTTTAGGGTTTACCCAATGATCAGTCTCGCACAGTTTTGCAGATACCAGTTGCGCCAGCTGCACCGCCAGTTCGCAGTGTGTTTGCAAATCCAAATTTCGGTTATCCCACCAATCAGAACATTCCTTTCGGCACGAATCAAAACGCTCCTCAATATACCCTTAATCAGCCCATTCCTTTTAGTAATGCCGGCAACAGCTTATCCTTTGCAAACCAGACTGCTCAATTCACGCCAAACCAGTTTCAACAGCCTCCCCCTCTTGTCCCATCTCATTACAACCAGCAGCAACTCCCTACAGACCCAACCTACTCCCAATTTTATGTTCCTAACAATCAAGTACAATCTCAACCTTTCACCAATCCTCCATCTAATTTTATGCAGCAACAAAGAGAGGAGTTCAGTCATATGCCCCCTCCTTCTAACAGTAATTATGGTCAAAAAATGGTGTTGAAAAATAATAGTAGTGCTAATATGAAAAGAAGTGGATTTATTAACAAACATAAATTTCATACTGGAAATTTTAATCAGCCAAAAAGGCGCATTGAGAACAATAATCTTGAACAAAGAAGGAAAAAGCGATCTCTTGAAAGGGAGAAACATCTCTACGAAGTGCCCATAGACACTCAGGACACAACTGTTACTACTACCGAAGTGAGTACTTACCCTGATTATTTGTTAATAAAAAGAATTCAATTCGTTATTAAATATTCTGGGCTATGTTTGTCGTATAATTCTTAGGGTAAACAAGAAGTTGAAGAAGAGGATGAGCTGACAAAGGATTTAAGACTTAAAATCGAGGAGCAGAAACGTCGCCGTGAAATGTTTCTACGAGAAAAAGAGGAGCGAAGGAAGCAAGCCGCCAAGGAAAAAGCTATGAAGGCTGGCAATTCTTTCGAATCTAATTCAACCTCTGCTATACAAAATACTACACAAAGGAAACAGTTTTCTAAACAAATTAGCAACGTTAAAAAGAACGTGGCGAAACATCAGACTCTTAAAGTTGTGACGACAACGAATCAGATAAATCCAAATAAATTCCAGCAGCAACAACAACAAACGTATAGTAATAATTTGCAGACGCTTGTGACAGCATCGGTTTTGAAAAATGCTAACAGTAGTGGTGGTGTACGTATTGTTTCGAAGAAGACTTTGGAAGGAGCTCCTACGTCCGGTTTTCTCGAAAATCGAAAAGTCCTTGCCAGAGATGACAATTTGCCTGATACATCAATTGTGGTTGTAAGCAATCTCGCTGCCGGTACAACAGATATAAAACTTCGAAAGATGTGTCAAAATATTGGCAATGTTGAGGTAAGCAGGTTTTTATTTTAGCTCAAAGTGTAAGATGGGTAAATGCATTATTCTCTTTTCCTCTGAAGATTTCAAAATATTCTATTTTTCGTTTATTGTGTTCTTATAGATTTATTATTATTNTAATTAATCACTATTAAAACAGTAGATATTCGATATTGTGAGCGGCATATTAACTATGCTAGGTCGCCATATACCGTGAGCAAACTACATCTTAGCTTATAGAAACGACTGCTCACTAGCCTAAAAAATCGGTATTTCGATTTGTTGAAGTCGAATCATTGTGATAATAAATTTAAAGGATGTCTTATTGAAGACTTTTAAAGTAGCGGTGGAAAAATTTTGAGCTGTTGAGTATATTTTGCTTAGAACTATAGACGCTTTAAATGTAACCCTGTAGGCAGAAGAGAATGATGTGAACATTACTGACTTTATAGTTAAGTATAAAAAGATCAAAAAAAGGAACCAATGTGCAAAAAAATCCTCAGAAACAAACAAAAATATCTGATTTATATGGTGAAAAATTATATTTCATTACTGTTTTAAGCATTTGTCAATTACAGATATGTTTATTACATATAAAATATAATATTCGTTAACGTGAACAACTGTTTTATCAGTTCACACTATCAAGTATCTACTGTATACAGTTCTACAGATTTATACTGCAGAAATTATATCCTTTATATAGTTATTGTAGATTTTTTTTTTGCCTCATTAAAAACATAATTTAAAACAAATACATTCTGTTGGCATTTTCAAATGTGGAACGTATGTAGAATCTTTTAATTTCAAAATGAATTCTTAGCTATATTTATTAATTATAAGCCAATCTTTCTTGGGATTTTACTTTTTTTTTTTTAATTGATATCAGGGAAGCTTTTCTAATATTTAAAAAACAATTCACTGCTACATTTAAGAAAATGGACATAAAAATTTAAGACAGATTGGCTGTTTATGAATTTGTTTTCCAGAACCTGCGAAGCCAAATTTTGAGAAAAGAAACAGATTCGTTCTCAGAAAGTGATTTTAATTACCTTTTTTAATAACAATTACACTGGACTAGTGTCATTACTAAATATTCCTTGTTTATACACGTTTTGTTTTTATCTGAATTTTTAATTGTACAATTTTCAGTACATTAATTTAGTTGATGCTATTGAGGCGATTATTTTCTCTGTACACTCGTTTAGTTGCTTTAAGTTATTGATGTATTTTAAATTGTTTTTTTTTGCTATCATTCTTCTATCTTTTAATAGAAAAGTATATTTTAAGTTTTCGTTATAAAAAATAGTTAATGTTAGATAATACTCATCTTAATTGGTGTTAAAATTAAGTCTTGCTTTGGGATTACCTAAGTCTCTAATTGGAGAGATGTTTTACTGAATTGTTAAGAAGTTTCTGCTTTACTGACAACATTCGTAAAGTTTTCTTAGTTATTACATTTATTATGGATAATCCTTCAAATTTTCGGTGAAATCTCTTCATAATTATTTTAATAAATCAAGTGGGTTTTGGAAAAANTAATTGGAGAGATGTTTTACTGAATTGTTAAGAAGTTTCTGCTTTACTGACAACATTCGTAAAGTTTTCTTAGTTATTACATTTATTATGGATAATCCTTCAAATTTTCGGTGAAATCTCTTCATAATTATTTTAATAAATCAAGTGGGTTTTGGAAAAAAGTAAATTAATAATTTAAAACGTTATGATTAATACAGTTTTCAGGATATTCTTGATTGAACTGATATTTGCATTTGAAAATGGTTGTGAAGTGATGAAGTCTAAACACTTTTTTGTTATAAGCAACTATTCAATAATTTTTAAATACAACATTGTATAAACTTGCGAGCAAAAAACGTAATTTGTTGAGTATGTTCAAATCCAGGCTTAAGTTTAAAATGTGTTATGTTTTCAGAAGCTACAGATGTCTCCAAAGGAGCGACAGGCAACAATTCAGTTCAAAAGTGTTGCTTCCGCTCATGCTTTTTTTAAGAAATATCAACGTTTTATGCTTGACTTGTCAATGATACAAGTGACCCTTAAACAGGTGTCGTAAGACTTATTTAAGGTTTCGCTGTTCTGATTACCTCTTGTATACTGTACGCATAAGCATTAAATGTATTTTTTAGGCTTATTCTATGATTGATTCTGTGTAAGAAGTAAAACTTAAGCTGAACATTAAGAAACAGTTTCAGATTCTATTTATTAATACTACAACTGAGTGATAGTATAGAGGAATATTTAAAATGACTTTTGCCTTAATTTTATTGTGAGTGTGAGAGGTTCGTCGTAAGTTTAAAACAATTCTAAATATCTCTACTTATTTTATAAGGGAACAAAAATCATTTTAAAAACATATTAAATATGTATTCCATGTTATATTATGTTGCCTTCTCAATTACTTGTATGCATACTGCTTATAATTGCATTTTGTTTTTTTTGGTTTAATTCTCAGTTGTAGTGGGTAATAATTTTATTAATTATAGGAATTTTATGATTCGATCTCTTAACACTTTTAAGGGAATCTTTAAATGAATGTGTAAAGACTACAGTATGAAAATTATGTGTTTTTATGAAACCATGCGTTTACTTATATGTTATTATTTGTTGCTCATATATTGTGTTGTTAGTTTTTCTGTTAATTTACTTCGCAGAAAGCCATGTATTTATTTTAAATATTTATAATTATAAAATATATTT